TTAAGCGACCCTAAGTGGCTAAGTTTTTATCTAAGAATTATGGTTAGTCTTAAAAACTGCTTATATCGAAAATTAAGTCGATTTTGTTGCTGAAACTTGACTCAAGTGTATAGTAACCCAAGCTTGCGTTCTTATGTCTGAATAATATATTTGAATGCTAGATACAAAATTATTACTTTCACCCCATATATTAGTATTATTACCATTTTTCACTTTATGCTCTATTTTGAATTAATGTCTTTCCCGCCTCGGTATCGCCCCTGCTCTACTGATCAAGATAAATATTAAGCGTGGTCGAGAGCTGGCTCTCAGTTTGGGACTGGCCAACTTGGCTGATAAGGCCATCTCTTTGCCAGGCAGTGTGAAGAGTACGATAGCCAATTTGGTGGGCCTACCTACACTTGTGGGTTACTCTGCAGCCACTTTTGAAACGACCGATGCTGCCTCTCCTACCTCCCCCTTTATCAGTGATCCAGCTCCGGCTTCTACTCCTGCCTTTTCCTCTCTTGTTCTTGGTTCGTGTTCTCACTCTGACAACTTAGTGACTAAAGCTGATAGTACCGTTATGTTGCCTGATCAGATAGTCAATTTGTCGTCAAGTTTTGATGATGAAAACCAAGAAGACTCCGACGGGGAGGATGCGGAACAGGTGAGGCTTGGAGCTAAGATCGGGCTTCACTGCCAATCTTGAGTGTCCCGGGCCAACTTAAAGGCAACTTTTCTGTATTTTAAGTCAGCTTGGTCGACTTTATAGCTGATCTTACTATTTATATTTTTAAGCTAAATGATCAACATTTTTCAATTATCGAAGTCTTAACTTCAATTGACAAATTCTCAAAGGCGATGGCATTATTTTCTCTTGGCAGGTTACACCTGTTCCATAATTGTGATACACATACGTTTCAATTGTAAAAGAAGTGATTATTTTCTGTCTCTTTTCCCATTGCTTCCAAACGCATATTGTTGATTATCTTGTAATGTCGATTAGACCACCTTTTGGTCATCCAGTCAAAAAACCTACCCGATGTTTTTTATCCACTTTTTGCTTCTCTTCAAGTTTTCACATGAATCCCTAAAATCGATGCACCTCAGCTGTGTTTTCTTAATCATTTTGCACAAGCACTCTGATTAGATACTACTTTTCTGCTTATATAAAGTGTCTCATGGTTGCTCGTTCAACCGATCTTTTTTATCTCCAATTATTTTCACCTGACCCCAACCTTTTTGTCTGAACCATTTGACTAATTGGTTCTTTCAATTCGCGCAGCTCATTTCCTTAT